GCAGCCTTGACACCACTCGCTGTTCTCGTAGGTTTGGTCGATCCTTCCAGGTTCCGGTGGTCGCCTTTATCTTCCGAAGATGGTGTGTCCTGTTGTTCCTCCACTCGGTGTCCCAGGCTCTCCAAATCGTCCGCTTGATTCACTTTTTGACATCTTCTTTGACACAAAACTTCTGGAAAGTTCGCCGATCTTTAGAAGTATTTACCTAACTTCATAGAAATTCAAATATTTTCAGATAATTTGTGGAGATTTGAGGAATTTAAAAGAATTTCAGATAAATCTGCAGAACTTTACGGAAGTCCAAGAATCCACAAAGAAATGTACATAACTTTAGAGAAGATCTACTGAAAAATCTGTAAAATTTTTTGGAGGTTCTTGGATTTTAAGTGAAATTTACAGAAATTCTGGGAAGTTCGCTGAACGTTATAGATATTTGCACAACTTCAGAAAAATTAGTAAAGGGTGTCCACGATGAAATTGCCACACTATGAAATTGCTCTAACTTTTTAACCGTTGGGTAGAATTTAATGAAAATTTGGGTGGATTTAGCATAGTGCATTATTTACATCCTGCAAGTTTTAAAGTCCTGTGATCAAAACTCGCGGAAATGGAGTCGAAAGAACAGCTCGTGCGTGATAAAATCTTGCGCATTCATCACGAGAACAAGGATCTTTCGCATCGTTCCATCGCTAAAACGTTGGGAATCGCGAATTCCACGGTGTCGCGAGTGATTAAGCGGTTCGAGGAACGGTTGACCACCGATCGGAAGCCCAGAAGTGAAGGAAAAAGTATTCCGTACAACACCAAAAATCACAACCGCGTAGTTGGGGCCTTCAACCGAAATCCGAACGCCTCCGTTAGGGATGTGGCTAAGAAGCTGCACCTAAGCCGAAGTTTTGTCCAGAAGGCCAAAACTAAGGCTGGGCTTCGAACGTTCAAGGTACAAAAGGCCCCTAATCGCGACGAGAAGCAGAACAAGTCCGCCAAAACCCGTGCCAGGAAGTTGTACCTCAACATGCTGACGAAAGTTGAATGCTGCATCATGGACGACGAAACATATGTGAAGGCCGACTTCAAACAGATCCCCGGCAACCTGTTTTTCACGGCCAAGGATAAGTTCAGCGTTCCGGAGCATGTCCGCACTCAGAAGATGTCCAAATTTGCGAAGAAATTCCTGGTTTGGCAAGCCATCTGCACGTGCGGGAAGCGGAGTGCACCTTTCGTGACCCAGGACACGATGAACGGACAGGTGTACATAAAAGAGTGCCTCCAGAAGCGGCTGCTTCCTCTCCTGAAGGCCCACAACGTCCCAACAATCTTCTGGCCGGATTTGGTCTCATGCCACTACTCCAAGGACGTGCTGAAGTGGTATGCGGACAATAAGGTCAATTTCGTGCCGAAAATGTTCAACCCTCCCAACACTCCGGAGCTCCGCCCCATCGAGAAGTACTGGGCGATTATGAAGCAGCACCTTCTTAAACGACCTAAGGTAGTGAAGACAGTCGAGGAACTGAAGAAAGTATTGGTTTACATGCAAAAAACGGTTGATTCACAGGTTGTGCAGAATCTTATGGCCGGGGTTAAGGCCAAGGTGCGGGCATTTGCGTATGGACTGTAAATAAAATACGAGTAAAATGGTAAAATGAAGTTTAATAGTTATTTCTCAATCCCTGAAAATTTGATGGCAATCGGATGAAAACTCGAATTTTGCGAATCAATTTTGTGTGTGGCAATTTCATCGTGGACACCCTTTAGATCTTCGGAGAACTTCCTTAAATTTCCGGGAAGCTCAAACATTTCTAGATATTTTTTTTTATACTTAAGGGAATTTCGTAGATGTTCAGACATTTTTGCAGATATTAATTAAATCGTGATAATCTACAGAGAAAATTATATAACTTTCGAGAAGGTCGTAGATTATCAGACATTAAGTGAACATCAGAGATAATTGTTGATATTTAAGGATCTTAAATCGGCATGGATTCAGGAACTTTGTAATGTTTTAGAGAAATTTGCTCATCTTCTAAAGAACACACAGGACTTCTGAAATCTGCAGAACTACCGAGAAATTTGTAGATCTTCAGGAAAGTTTGTTAATCTTCAAAGACATTTTACCAGAGAACAGAAATTCAACTTAAGAGATGGATTAGTAATTTCCATTTAATTCCACTACCTTATTTGCTTTATCATTGACAGATACGCGTATTTCGTCTACAATGTGCAGACTTCTTCAGTGTCTTGTACTAATAGTCGAGTATTAGTACAAGACATTGAAGAAGTCTGCACATTGTAGACGAAATACGCGTATCTGTCAATGATAAGCAAATAAGGTAGTGGAATTAAATGGAAATTACTAATCCTTCTCTCTCTCATTATACAGGTATTCCCCTAAGACGCCCACATTCATCAGGACTTTAGAGACGTCCGAAGGTCTTCAGAGAAATATGCAGAATTTAGATCTTAACATAAATTTTCATAACTTAAGGAATCCTGTAGATCTATAGAGAATATTTCCCACTAGCTTATCGAAAGATGGTTTCGACATCCTGGCGAAGTTTTAAAATCCTTTTTCGTCTTAATATCGCACTTCTTGAAGGACAAGATGACCCAGATCCCTGCCGGCGTTCCTCTTGAGCAACCATTTCCTACTCCATAAAATTCACCTTATCCTTCTCATTTTATTTAAAATAATAAAAGCAAATATGCCTGTCAAAGCTAGAGCAATGATCCGGTAATTCATTTTGAAACATTTACTTTTGATTCCGGATACAATTTTGTTTTTGACAATTCTTTCGACATGTGCAAGCAGTGTAATCACCAGCAAGTGTGTCAAAAGTAAAATCGAGCAGATTTTTCACTATGGCGGCGGTCAAAATCAGACTAAGAAATCAGTTAGTCTAAATGGACCTTTTGCAAACGCCATGTAAACTGTGTAATGAATGTAACCATTTGTTATGTGCTCGAACTGAGTTTTAATCTGCACGAAAACAGAAGAAATAAAAACTGGCACGCATAATTATGCTAAGCTTTATCCATACAGCGATTGGTTAGGGATGGTCGTACACTAAACCTATAGCTAATGTAAGTTCATTTTAGATATGCTATGGCTTATATCATGTTTTCAGTAGGCTTGCCTTTGCTTAAATGTGATTTTCAAATTTTTATTTTTTTTAAGGAAAGGCCTCTTTAGCCTCTCAATTGGTTAGCTGAATTGAGCATTACAAGAATAATGTATTCCGAACATACGCTCAGCTGCTTCAATATAATCATATCTTCCGGCACTGATAAAGCCATTCTTTCAGAGTGCTCAAAACATTCCTAATGGAGAGAAAATAAATCACAGGGCAAGATTTATGGTCGCTTCAAAATTCTTATACCTTATCGTCATTCTCTCTTTAAAAGTATGTGTGTGTATCAATCGTTCAGGCATATATTAATATATTTATTAATATTTCTTCGTCATTTTTCTGTTCGGAATCAACCCCGGCTCTGTTGAGCAAAACAAATTTACTCTATTTCCACTGTGCGCTCGCGTGAATTCCAGTGTGATCCACTTGTATTTTTATTCTGGTTCGCTCAATAATCCAAAAACGAACAACAATATTCATTAAGTTGCTATGTTTCCATTTCTTCCATTCCCCACCAATCGGTTCAGTTTGCTCCAAAGTTGCCCCTGAACCACAGGACTTTTTTCCATTTCAAACCGAGAATTCGCTGCCGCTCTCCGTTAATTTAGTGAAACGAATCTTGATTTATGTCTCTATTTTTCACACATGTCTCCATTTTTTTTTTCGGCATTCAGTAAAGCGGCCCTCTCCCTCTCAGCTTTACAAGGCTGGCTGGGCATACGTTATGCTAGCAAAAAAAAAGAATAGACTCATCTATGAAAACTGATAATTATAAGTTGACTCTCGCTGCTTCTGCTTCGAATCCAATCCAATCACCGCCAGCCCCAATCGCCACCGGGGGAGCAGACAGGAAAATAGCAGCAAGAAGAGATTCCAATTTTCTCGTCGTGTCTTAATTTGGATCGTTGACCACACGGTTCTCATGATGTTTTTTTTTTTTTGCGTGTCCCTTTGCTGCCGGGGCAAATAACAGGAAAATAGTCGAATTTTTGGGGCGACCTCCAAAATTATAACCCTGTGGATCGAGCGTAGGATTGGATAGCTTTTCGTCGGGTATTTCTGTTTTCCCAGCGATAATTATAGTGCACACGCGGTTATTCGTAGCCCTGAAAGTCAAAATTCAGCCCTGCGTGTGTACTTTGGCTTGAAGACATCCACAATTGTTGAGGTAAAGAAGAAACGAAAAATGATAAAAGTGCCGCTCGGTACGATCGACAAAAACCAGGCCGTTGAACTTGTTTTTCTCCCCTCTCACTCGTAGGACGTTTTATGTTTACCCTCCTTCTTCACAGCATTAAACGTCGCGCCGTACGGCAACCAACTCGTCCAAAGAGGCCACGAAGAAAAATATTTCCAAAAATGCTCCATTGCGTTCCAAATTTCTCGGCAGGGCTGGCTGAGCCTGCAAGCAACCTACGGAGAAATTCCCGATAATATTGGATGCCACAAAGAGGCCAGAAAAAAAATCCTTGAAATTCCTTGAATAGTGCCCCGCAAGCGAACTCACTCAACAATTGAACCAATTTTCTTTTTTGGTGAATCGTGCCCGCTTCCAGTTTCTTTTTTTTTATAAATAATTACATTATAATTGATCAAATAATACGAATTTGCTGGATCATTGTTCATTCGTTGGGATTTTGTGCCCTTAGGGTTGGTCGAGGGGAGCAATTTGAATAATTTTCGGTCTTCGTTGTTAGGTCAAAGTCGGGAAAGACGAAGAAACGAACAAAAAATCATAATGGTGTGATTACAAGATTCATGTTCCATTTTAATGAGTTTGCGGTGGTCGGACCGTGGAAAATGCAAAACAAAAGAGCAAAAATCGAATCGATTTTTCATCATATGTTTTTTTTTTTCTTATTTCGTTTACAGGTGCCAACGGATTGCGAAGACGAGGCCGACAAACTTACACCCGATACCAAACGCTGGAGCTAGAGAAGGAGTTTCATACCAACCACTACCTGACCCGCCGGCGCCGGATTGAGATGGCTCACGCACTGTGTTTGACGGAGCGGCAGATCAAAATCTGGTTCCAGAACCGGCGGATGAAGCTGAAAAAGGAAATCCAAGCCATCAAGGAGCTCAACGAACAGGAAAAGCAAGCGCAAGCCCAAAAGGCCGCAGCGGCGGCGGCACAGGCATCGTTGCACGAGCAAAACTAGGGGTTAGACCATACCAATCACAGTAGTTCTAGTAATTATTTATATTAACTTTAATGAGTTCTAATGTTTTCGGTTAGAGCAGCGATATATTTTCGTCTTGAGACTAAAGTTGTTTTAGTTCTTTTTTATTTTTATTTTTTTATTTTTAAACTGATACGTTATGTTTCAATTTTAGTTCCCTTTCCAATTACGACGAAAGTAAGCTTCGTTCTAGATAAATTAATTTTGTAAAAAGAAATGTTGCTAAAGAGATTAATTTAAACAACTACTAAAACGCTAGTGAAAGGTATATTTCCAAAAACAAAAAAAAAACCAACCCTCAATGCAAGAGGTGCAATGTTCCCTAGTTCGGGGACGTGTTGTAAAAAGTTTTGAGTATAAGAATGGGAGAAAGTTGTACAAAAAGAAGCTGGTAGAAACTATTTTCGAATCTCAATCTAAACTCAGTCTACGGAATACCCTTTGTGATGTGGTAATTGCAATACATAAGTAGAATTATCAGCAGTGATCGAAAGTCGAAACAACTCAACCATAAAATGCATACTTGCAACAATCCGCTTTTGCTGATGATGTCAGATTTCTTTTAATTGTTTATATTTGCTTGAAATAAGGTTATTTTAAGCAAAATTGTGCTGTTATCTCGTCCTATTTTGAACGATTGAGTTGTAAATATGTTTTGAAAGCTTTACCGCCCCAAACCGTCTCTTTCCAAATTCTTTACGTTTACAAAAGTGGATAAAATGCCAACGATATGTTCGACTAAAACGTACTTTACAAATTTAAGAATAACTGTCCACCTACCGTTTAAGTTTTCTCCTATCCAGAAAAGACTAACGAATAACAACAGAGATACGTAACTTTTTTGTGAAATGTCAAACCCATTCAAATGGTATCAATAATTATCCGGTTGGTTGACCCAAATTCTGAGCAAACGAATGCTGTAGTAATATATTGTTCATGTACTTATTTATTGCAGGGAAACGATCTTGTATATAGCCATGCCCTACGTTTTCCCTTATCAAAATTTTCTTCAGTGCAATAATTTACGGTCAAGAAATTTAACGTTCAAATGAGAAACGCAAACTATGTGTCGCGAGTTAAGCGAAGCTGCATGTGTAGTGAACAACCGCCGTAGTGTAGTTTAATCTCCACTTTTAGATCCATCCAGAATAACAGGACGTGACACAACAAACCACTTCTCTCTATCTTCTTCTAGCCCTCAGATCCGATTCCAAAACAAACTTCTTTTTTATATTCGTGCTTCGAAATTCACTGTTTTCATTTGTTCCCCTTGAAATGATGTGAGCGATATTTGAAACACAAAGCCAAAATACTGTAACATAAAGCAGGAGCATTTCGATTCCAATTTTATCGTACATTCAAACACATCCACACACAAGCTCATTGTCTAGAAAATAGATCTGTAATGTTTGTTTCCAATCATCCTACTATCAAAGATACCTTTTAGCCCGCCTGACAAATTCACCCGACTCAGTATGAAACGGATGCTCCTTAATGTTTAAAAGGCAAACTGGAAGGAATAGATTGAAAATACGTAATTAGACGAGATTAAGAGTAATTAAAAACAAACACACACACAAATGGAAAAAAATGTATACGTAACTAGATGGTAAGCTAAAGTATATTTAATAAAAATTTAAACAATGAAGAAGCAAACTAAAAGCAGAATGTGGAATAGTTACAAAAAATCGAAAAAGAAAAAAAAATAATTTAAAAATAATGGAATGATACGTAAGTAAATAAGATTTTTATAGTTGATAAGTAACTTAATTGGAATGAAACATTAAAGCAAATCACACCCACACATACACAGAGACAGACACACACACACCAACCAGACACACAGAAAACAAAGTAATATATTCCAGAGAGTAGACGAGGAAAAACAGGAGGGCTGTCAATATTTGACGACAACAGATAAGCAAGAAGGCAGTTCCTATATGTGAAAAAAAAAACCGAGGGAAAATCAATCCTGTGCGATTGAGCGCGCGGAAATTCATTGATGATGAAAAAAGAGTCCCTATGACAAAATAAATGACTATGAAAATTTAATTTAAAATGTTTCCAATTGCACGAAAGCTGAACGAAAAGAAATCCTATCACATCACAATCCTTTGCTGTCGAAAGGCAGTTGGGATTGAGCAACCAATGGAAGAACTTTTCGATCAATCCTTGGCAAGTTGGTCAAGTGCGATCGGGTCTAATTTACGAAGTGCTGAGAACGGCGATATTAAAGGCGATGCTAAGGGGGATATAATCATCGTTTTATTAACGTGGTCTGTAGAGTGTAAAAGTGCGTCTTACAGCAAACAACGGAAGAACGCAGAAGCCCCGGGGAAAATTTGATGTAATAAATTGATGATGACAGAGAGGTGCGCTTCAATAGCATATTATTACCGATCATGTTTGGTTACCTTGGAAGTGCAGACCGTCTCTTCTTTAGTCGTGTTTTGTGTCTACTGCGGTTGGCAGGGTGATTATTTAGGAACTACGAAACGTTGCGCCATAGGTGGCTCAAAAATGGATGGGCTGATTTTGCCTCTGGCAAATGGAATAAAAAATGGCTACGTTTAGACTGCTCTGTTGTTGTTGAGGGTGTATTAAAAAATACATACAATGACTTGGCAAGTGAAATGGTGGTGATTGCAGCAGGGAAATCACTCTTTTCAAACATCATCTTACGAATACTATTTATCACTTAAAAGTTGATACCTTTCATAAACAAAATAAAATTTTCATTGATCCTGTAAATTGCAACTGTAATGTATCTTTGCATAATTAGTTGTCATTGTATTTTGTTTCGATTCATCATTTTTTTTTATGATTAGTTAATCGGTTTAACATTTGCAGCAGTCCGTGCAAAAATATAATTTTATCAAAATGCAACCATATTGAATCGAATCTCAATAATATATTTTATTGTTTTAATGACATTATTTTATTAGACGCAATCGAATGAACTTTGCAGTGCCGAGATTTCTAAGGTACACTATCATAAACACAATAAATCTTAAAACTATAGACAAGAGCTTCTTCCATTAGAATAGAATTCACTTCCAGTGGTTTCCAGATATGGCAATAGACGCAAAAGATGGCGGCAGCCCTACTTTTGCTCAATAAAACAGATGAAATTATCCTTAATAAGTAAAAAAAAATCTCCTTAAAATAGATCGGGTTGCTCCTTAAATGATTGATCAAAATACGTTAAAAATCTAATAATCGTTAAAATCTTAAACCCTAAAATAGAGAAAACTGTACATTAAGCATTTGAAAATGCTCCTTAGTATGCACCGCTTTGCACCATTTTGAAGAGTAATTGTGACATATATCATCGGAAAAGCTGCTGTAGAAAGGTTAATAAGTACCATGAAATCAGCTGAAATGTTGTGTAAAAATGCACAAATGCCAGTGCCAGTCAGTGAGAGTTAGATTGTAAATACACACACCCTTTATAAAGCAAGTAAATATTTTTGCTGATATTTCTGGCATTTTAAGACCGATTTCCAATATATATAGGATTGATTTATTGATTTTTTAAAGGTATCGATTGAAGTTTAATTCGTAGCTAGCTGTCTTAATATATTTTACAATAATTGTATACGAAAACATCTCTCAAAGCTACAACATTTTCCCAAAATTCACACTGAATAATCATGACTGATTTTCTCAGAATTGGGTCCGATAATGTTGAAACGGTAGTGGAAGTAAACCCTTATTCTATACCCATCGAGATACGTTTTTGATTGATTGATTTTTTTTTTCCTTTGGTTTGTTTTTTCCGTCGATCTTGATTTCCGTGCTGAGCACCAATGCTACCGACGTGCCAGGAAGGCAGCTCCCACACCTGGACCCTACATATCGACTCATCAACTCATGAACCGGGGACCAACGGCTTTACTTCCCTTCCGAGGCGTGATCAGAGATGTTATGCCTCAGAACATCCCGGCGGCGCCGACTGGGATTGTACCCAGGCCTGCTGGGGTGAGAGGCAATCACGCTTAACACTACACCACCTGTGCCGCTTAAAACAACACACTTAGAAATAACTAATTTTACACGAGACGTAATTCATATTGGACGTAAATCATGGAACGTAAACAAACATTTCATGTAAAATTAAGTGTTCTCAAACTGAAACAAAAGCAAACCGACGAAGAGAACGTTTCATTGAATTGATTTTCTTGTTTCTTTCAACTGATTCTTCTGTCGAAAGGGCCGCTTACATGTGTCGGTCTCAGAGAACCTAAATTTACATGACGTTTTCGTAGTGTGTGCGATGCTGATGATGGATTCCTTTTATGTTGTATTAGTTTTAAAAATAGTAATCTACAAAAGTTTGAGTTTCAAGCGCGTAGTACAGATTTTAAGGACTTTTCCTTTTAAATTTGATTAAAATCGAAAATTGACCTTGAAGCTTTGGAAGATATCATTAATTAGTAGTGGGTTGTCTGGCTGAATGTCTTGAAATTACTTGTTGATTCTGCCGCGGCTGAACGTAAAAGTTTACAAAGTACTTTTGGTGCCGGTGGTGTAGTAGTAAGCGTAATTACCTCTCACACCAGCTGGCCTGGGATCAATCCCAGTCAGCGCCGCCGGGATGTTCTGAGGCATAACATCTCTGATCACGCCTTCGGAAGGGAAGTAAAGCCGTTGGTCCCTGGTTCATGAGTTGTTGGGTCGGGTCCAGGTGTGGGAGCTGCCTCCCTGGCGTCGGTAGCATTGGTGCTCAGCACGGAAAACAAGATCGACGGAAAACAAGTCAAGGAAAATAAAAATAATAAGGGCCAATCGATTCCCGAGCCTGTCTAACATTTTCTCAGGTTGGACTTGTGTTATGATGGACCAAATGGCTGCAATGACCTCGTTAGGACCGTATCGTCTGTGGGCTGGATTAAGCTGGATATTGGCTTTTATGTTGATAAATGTCCTTATACTGAATGGTGTGATAAGGATTGTAATAAGATTTTCTTGATCCCTGGAAATACCCACGAACTTTTATGATTAACATCAACGACTTTTTCACACTTATGTTGCTGTAATGCAATTAAATAATTTTGAAGGCATTTATATCCTATGAAATCAGTTTGTTTTGTTATTACAAAGCTGGTTTGAATTTTTAAATAAATTGAGATAAAATTTTATTAAGTTCAATATTATTTCAAAAACTACCCAACCCTTAAGTTGCTAATGGAAAACATAAGGAGGCACTATAAGTAAGTAAAATTGCACCAGTAAATTCAAAACTATGCTTCTTAAAACAAGGGTAATGATCAATGAGAAAGAAAAAAGTTCCTTTAAATGATATGAAATGTTCCCTGAAATGTTTTATAAAAAATAAGAAATGTTCTAAAATGAAAAAAAAAACAAAAATTAAATGTTCTTAAACTTTAGAGATTTTTATGAAACATTTCATATTTGTTATTGTCAGATTTTTTTGCGAAGGGCATATAAAAGGAATTGTTTTTGGATGGATTCTATGCGTTCCTCGTGTATGGCAATGTACGGATTCCATACTAGGTTACAGTATTGCAGAATAGGTCTTACGTATGTAATATATAATAATTTAATAGTGTATGATTCTTGAAAATTATAGCTGAACCTCTTAATGAAGTCCAACATACTATTTGCTTTCGTTATGATTATATTATAATGTTCTACAAAAGTAAGTTTGAAGTCTAGGATTACACCTAGGTCCCTTACAATTTCACATTTTTTTTTTACTTTTTGGTTGCCTAAAAATATTTCAAAAAGAGGTGTTTCTTTTTTTCTGCTAAATACAATTGCGTTGCATTTTTTTTTTACATTGAGTTGGAGTAGACTTCTACTACACCAAGTGTTGAATAAGTAAATTTCATTCTGGAATTCTCCTGTATCGCTAGAATTACTTATTTTCATGAAGAGCTTCATGTCGTCTGCATATATAAGAACTTTTATTTTTTAAGTATGTTGGAAATGTCGTCTACGTACAAAATAAAAAGAATTTGGCCCAAATGAGAACCCTGGGGCACCCCAAAGGTGACCGAAATAGGTTCTGAAAGTTTATTCTGAAAACGAACGATTTGTTTGCGTTGCGTTAAGTATGTTTGGAGCCAATTCAGAAGTCTAGATTCCATTCTTATTTTTTTGCAATTTAAAGAGTAATAATGGTATGCCGATTCGGTCAAATGCTTTACTGAAGTCAGTATAAAGAGCTTCCACGTGCTTGCCATTGTTTTAAGAATAAAGGTTACAAATTCAAGAAGAACGATCTTTGAAAAAGTCGTGCTATTTGTTTTTAATTTGATTTTTTACTTGCTGAAATTTTTTGTCGTTTACGATTGATTCAAAAGTTTTGGGATGCAAGAGATAATAGTAATTCCACGATAATTACGGATGTCAGATTTCTTGCCTGATTTGAAAATAGGCACCAAAATGAGACGATTTCTAAATTTCAGGGAGTTTCACATTTTTTGGAGATATATTGAAAAAGCGTTCTAAAGGAAGTGGGAGTTGTTCTGAAAGATTCTTCAAGAATACAGGTGCAATTCCGTCAGGTCCTGGCGTCCACATTTTTTAAGTGCATCGAGGACTTCATGTTAACATATTTGATTTACAGATATGTTGTTAGAGACTTCGCGGTCGCGGTCTTTTTCAGAAAATGGGGTGTATACTTCCTGAAAGAAATTTGCAAAGAGATTGCAGATTTCAGAAGGATTTTCACCTACACTTCCATCAAAATGCATTCGTGACGGAAAATTATTACTTTTAAATTTCGTTTTTACATAATTGAAAAAGTTCTAAGGACATGATTTGGCTTCATTTCCGACTTTACGAATATATTCTTCATGTGCAGTGTTAATGGCTGTGTTGAGTTGGTTGCATATGTTATGATAGTGTTGTAAATTTGTGCTTGTGCTTTCCTTTTTGTATAATTTAGGTGCTTTCTGCTTTTTGTTCTTCACATGTTTTAGGCAGTTTGTTGTTTTGTGTTCGCCTCCTTCTTTTTATTGGTACGGTTTCTCCATGTAACGGACATTACTTCACTATTATACGCAAAAAAAAGTTTACGTTTG